TTTATATATATATATATATATATATTTCTACACTTTTATAACAGCTCAGCTTTAATTAAGTTTGTACTTTTTTCTTGTTTTTAAATAGTATTAGAGGTAAATTTTCAGTAAAACTTGGTTACGGTGAAGTCATTGAGTTTATGAATAATTACCTTTAATGAACTTTTCTATCGTATTTAACTGAAACCCCTGTTTTCAGACTTGTGTAGATCTTAATTCAGTGGCGTTAGGAGTGAAATGAATGCGCAGGAAGCTGCTGTTAATTGCGGTAGATTTATCTCGGGAGCTTCATTCAGATGCCCAGCGGATCCATGAATAACGGATGATATCAGTCCCTCATTAACCAGCTTTAATCAGAGTGTCTGCTCATTTGGTGATTAAAGTCATTAGGTTTGAACCTGGCATGAGTGGAGAGAGACTGGAAATGGAGGTGATGATGATGGTGATGTTGAGCGTGAGCTGCTGTGTCTCTCTGTGTTGCTGTAGTTTTGGGGAAGGTCCGCAGTGCCGTCGGCAGCGCTCAGCTCTTGATGTCTCAGAAGTTCCAGCAGTTTCTGGGTCTCTGTGAGCAGAACCTGGTGAGTGTCTCTATAACACCCACTTCACTCACAGGGTCACATACAGTCAGTGCTGATTTCATGTCCACACCGTATTTTACCCCAAAATCAAGGGGCAGTGCCACTCAATTACTGTAACGCCTCCAAATGTTTTGCTTTTGAGTTTTTGTTTTTAATTAACAATAACATTTTAAGAGTTTCTGATTGTTTTAATGTAGTGTATATATTTTTTTGTAATTAAAACAATACAGTTGTTAATTTTTATCTATCTATCTATCTATCTATCTATCTATCTATCTATCTATCTATTCAATTCAAAATTGCTTTATTGGCATGACTGTAAATGATACAATATTGCCAAAGCTTAGTACATATGTACAAAAAGATTTTTTTTTAAATATATATATATATAATAACAACAATATTAATAAGTAAATGAACATCACAGTAATATAATGGAATATTATAACATCTTAGAAGTATTAAACTGTAACCAATTATAACATGTGAACATTTGATACCACATCTATCTCTCTATCGCTCTCTCTCTCTCTCTCTCTCTATATCTCTATCTCTCTCTCTATATCTCTATCTCTCTCTCTCTATATATCTCTATCTCTCTCTCTCTCTCTATATCTCTCTCTCTCTCTCTATATATATATCTCTCTCTCTCTCTATCTCTCTCTCTCTCTCTATATATATATATATATATATATATATATCTATATCTCTCTCTCTATCTCTCTATCTCTATCTCTATCTCTATCTCTATCTCTCGCTCTCTCGCTCTCTCGCTCTCTCTCTCTCTCTCTCAATTTAAGAGTGCTTTATTGGCATGACAAAAATTAGACCTTTGTATTTCCAAATTAGTTACAGCTGGACTGCTTACAAATAGTACACATGTATTATCAGAAAGAAAAAGAATAATAATATATAAAAAGTATTATGTAGTGCAAAATGAATGAGTGTTTTCTCTTCTGTGGTGACAGGCAGACACATATTGAGCAGCAAACACACAGCAGTTCTTCTGTTCTCCTAACAGATACGCCACTGTCTCCTGGTCTGAGAGAGGTTGAAATGTCTGATGGATCTGCTGTATTTTATCGTAGAACACTGTCCGTATATCTGTGTATTTGGGGCATTCTGTTAGGAAGTCTCTCCGGTGGCAGCCATGTTTTTCTGTGTCTGCCCGTCTCTATCATCATTGTGTGTGTGTGTGTGTGTGCGCGCATCGGGGCAGACCTCCGCTGTGCGCGATGCAGAGAGTGCGACCATAACGTAGAGACCTAAATGACATGCCGTCGTCCAAATAAGATAAATAACATAAGGCTATTTAGTTTGTTTAATAAAAGAACAAGGTATAGACCTGTTCTATTGGAAAGGTAACTTTAAATGACTTCTGTTGTGATATGGCGCTATATAGAGAAAATATAATTCAATAAAATTAACTTGACCTAAAATAATGGCAGGGGTTAACACTGAAAAGTATATCATTTATCTTTTTTTATTGTTTATTTTTAATTTATTCCTAAATTGTGAATAAAGAATTATCATTATTTCATCTTTATTTATTTAATTAGTAATTATATGTTTTAAGATGAATGAAAATTGTCTGTGTATGTATACATATGTTTATTAAATGTTAATAAAAAGTACATGTTTTAAGGTTTATTATTATTATTAATGTATTTATTTTTATTGCATTAGTTAAACTAAAATCCTGTTGGATAAAATCTAGTCCCACCATATATTACTTTTATTATTAATTTTCTTTCACTTAGAAATGCATGGCTTTGCAGGAGTGCTGATCATCAGCCAGAAACTCTGTGTATGAGGCTGAGTGGATCCCACTGTCTGCATCACAGACACATCACTGCTTCATTGTGCTGGATTCTCCTGTTTTGTCCTGTATTATTCTTGTTAGCTGTTTCTGGTCGGAAATAAGATCATATTACAAATATGTATTGGTTATTTTGCCCCCAAAAACGGATCCAGTGGACCTGAAGTGGACCGACTTTGATTCTCTTCCTGTTGTTGTTTTTAAGCATTTGGCAGATTCTTTAACCCACTGCGACTCATTGAAGCTGTACAGTTGATGTCAGTCTGATGACTGATGTGTGTGTTTTCGGTCAGGATGCGAGTGCTCAGCCGCGGCCCACAGCGCAGGATCTGGCCGGGTTCTGGGATCTGCTGCAGCTCTCCATCGAGGACATCAGCATGAAGTTTGACGAGCTCCACCTCCTCAGGTCCAACGACTGGAAGATGTCTGAGACCCAGGACAAAAAGGTCCAACTGACAAAGCTTTCGAGCATCCTAACATTTCCCTTTGCCTTTGCTTGTAAAACCAGAGAAATATTCTGGTTTGTGGATATACTTCAGCTTTTAGATCTAGAACTTTGTATCACCACATGAAGCCGCCCATCTATAATAACGTCATGAGGTGAAAATGTAGTGTCAGTTATTTGCCCAAAAAAAATTAGGCAGTATATAATGTATTTTTTGTATGGTGTTTGTAGTAAATGGTACACTAGCACAATATATTTAAATGTTAAAAAAATTAAATGGTAATATAATATTTATTCTATGCATACTTTATATGTATTTTATTATTTTCTAAATTACTTAATATTTAATATTTATTTTACAAGTGTATTTTATTTGTATTGTTTTTTTCATAGTTAACTATAAGCTAATAATTTAAAAAAAAAAAAGTAATATTAGTGATGAAATATATTATATTATATATATATATATATATATATATAGAAATATAAATTTTTCTAATCTAATCATTATTTTTTTGGGTTAAAAATTAATATTAATTCAATGCTATTTTAATATTATAAGATGTCTTTTGTGTATATATATATATATATATATATATATATATATATACTTGTATAACTTATTAAGAGTTTAATTATTGAATGAATGTCCTCAGGAGGAGAAGATGTCCGCTCCATCCCACACACCAAAGAAGACGGTAAAGGTCAAAACCTCGGGTGGGAAGGAGAAAAGCAGCGACTCGGTGGCTGACAAGCAGCGTCAGGAGGCCAGGAAGCGACTGATGGCGGCCAAGCGAGCGGTTTCCGAACGACAGAACTCCGCCACCGAGAGCGCCGAAAGCATCGAGATCTACGTCCCCGAGGCTCAGACGCGACTCTAACAAAGCCCAAAATAACAAACTCCTCACGAGCAGACACTGTCTAGCGCTCGCGGACACACGCACCGTACGCAGCGCACCGGGGTCGGAAACCACAAGCAAAAAATACGAAATAGAAAGATCAAAAAACTGAATTGGAACGCTAGCGTGTCACCGCTGCCAGAGAAGAACCTCCCCTCGACGTTAATTTCTATGGTTACCCTTATAAATGTTATAAAAGTGAATTATCTCATGGAAATATATCAAGACTTTGTCTGTAAATTGTGCTAATATCTCTGATGGAAAGACCTTCGTTGAGATCTCAGACCCTTTACACGCTTCACACGTCACATGACCCACGGACGCCCCTCCCACAGCATGCACTCAGGATCCCGCACGTGTGCACTTGTCTTTCATCAGCGCAGTCTTCCTGCTCTCACAGACACCTTTTGAGTTCCTTTTCCCACCAGTTTTTGGCGCACGGCTGCGTGACTTTACGGCTCGAATGGAAATCTGCAGAAATGTTTGGACGGTACAGCGGATACTGAAGTGGTAGAATAGCACAGCGGATTTTAGCACTCCACTAGTTCTGTTTGATTCACTCCAGTAAAACCGAACACAGAAACCCATCCAGCTTGGTTTATTTTCACGTAAAGGCGCACGGAGCACGACCCATCTGTCAGTTTCTGGTTATTTAATAGGGTTAAAACATGACCACTCCACTTTGTTTTTATGATGAATGTTTTAAAAACTCAATGACAAGGTCCAGATTTTTACTTGGGCCAACAGTCTGTTTTGTAATATTATTATTATTATGATTTTTAATGCTTTTAGTTGTGTTTTTGTTGTCCAGTCATTCCATTTGTTTCCAGCACACGTACGAACCGTGTGTCTGTGTGTGACCAATCAGAGCCCGTCATTTGTGATCGAAGATGTTTTTTTTTTTTGGTTAGATATTAAAAACTACCTTTACCCAGAACTTGCTGATTTGGAAAAGTTGTTTCAGATTTTCACACGTCGGGCCCAGAAGTGTCAGTACTTCCACAAATGCTTTGCTGCTAGTTATCTGTGCATATTAAACTAGCTTAGAAAGATCTGAACACGCTTCACCATCACTGCCGGTCTCTTCATGTGCCAATTACACTGAAGCCAAAGGAGGAAAATGACGTTTAAATGACGAAGGAAATGGAGATTTGATGCCACTTTTATTAACGGTTCATTCATTTTTCAGAGTTTGTATTCCATTGTAAGCATTAAAGGAATATAGTTCATCCAAAAAGGAAAATTTGCTAGAAATGTCCTCGCCCTCAGTCCATCCAAGATGTAGATGGGTTTGTTTCTTCATCAGATTTTAAGAAATGTAGCATTTCATCACTTGCTCACCAATGGATGTGAATGGGTGCCGTCAGAATGTGAGTCCAAACAGCTGATTAAAAACATCACAATAATCCACACACCACTCCAGTCCATCAGTTAATGTCTTGAGAAACCAAAAGCTGTGTGTTTGTAAGAAACAAAACCATTGTTCACGTTTTAACTTGATATTGTTGCTTCTGGCTAAAATACGATTCCTCTATCCATTATATTGCTTTCTAAAAATCTGTGCTGGTGAAACACTCATTTTCATCTTGGTTGGCCTGAGGGGTGAGTACATTTTCTTCTAATGGTCATTTTTGAGTGAACAACTCCTTCAAGTGCATGAGATCTGAAGGAATCTCCCTCTGTATCAGACCTCGAGGTTTCCTGCTGGCTCACACCAGTGTTTCAGAAGCTGGATTTTCACGGTTTGTGTGGTGCATTAGTTCAAACTTGCTTTAGTTTGGATTCAACATGTAGACGATGAGTCTCTGAACACGAGTGACATTCCTCACCTCTTCCATTTGCTCATATAATGATTTATTATTGCAGAGTTATTCATCCTGGACTCGACTGCTTTTGCGGTTTAATGTTTTTGTGGAAACCATTATGCATCGCATTTAAAAGTTTGGATTAAATAAGATTTTTTTTTGGATCAAAAGTGAAAGTAAAGACATTTATGTTTTGAAATATTTATATTTTAAATAAATGCTGTTTCTCATGAGAGAATCCTGAAAACAAAATGTTTAATTTTTCCACAAAAATATAAAGCGGCATAACTGTTTTCAACACTAATAATATATATTTTTTCTTGAGCAGCAAATCAGCATATTAGAATGTGATCATTTTAAAAAATACTCTGCCTTTCAATTTTTGTTCTGCAGAAGAAAATTATTTTATAGACATTTTCACATGCACTGATTTTCATCAATCCAAATGAATCCAATGCAACTTTACATTCTGAAAGTAATGTTTATATGTTCCCTAAACTTTTTTTTTTTTAATATATATAGTTTTGAACAAAATTTCAGTGCATGTTCTCCAGAAAATAACCGTGAGCATAAGTGGCGTTTTTCCCTTGATCACATATTTAAAATTATCCTGGAATGTTTTTTTAGCAAGAATGTTCCAACTATTAATTCTCCTCCACTGATCAGTTTGTAAGACGTTAATAAAGCACTGCGCATGTGCGCAATGTGTTCTGCATCTGATTGAGAAAGTAGTGTTGAAATCAACATGGCTAATCATTTTCTGGGTAACGCTTTACTTGAAGGGGTGTGCATAAGACTGACACTCAGTTATGTCATTTTTAATGCAAAGATGCCATAGTTTGACCTAACCCTAACCCATAAAGACATCTCAAACAATGTCATCTTTGCATTAAAAATGACATAACTGAGCGAATGACACTTAATGACAGTTGTCATAAACATGCATAAAACCTCCTTCATATGCATGACGTGTGTCATGTCAGTCTTATGCACACCCCTTCAAGTAAAGTGTAACCATTTTCTGTTTATATTAGATCTATACTGCTTTTAGCACTCAGATCAAAATTTCTTGCAATCTCTGAAAATTGGTCTGTTCATCCCTGCTGAAAAAAAACAAAACAATAGAAACTATCACAGAACTTCTAATTGTTTCCACTACAAACATTACAAACCATCCACATTTAACCATAACACCATTACCTAATGGCTTCCAGCAGCAGGGTTGCCAGGTCTGTAGTTTTCCTGCAGAATTGGGCTACTTGTAAACTGTTGCCACACGTAAAAATGTTTCTCTCTGGTTTAAAAATGTACATACTGCATAAATTGTAATTAGCTGAAATTTGTATTAAAATATTTTACATTCTACCAATGATAAACCTGTGCTAAATTATGTGTTTTGTGGGAAGGGCTTTTGAGCTCCTTTATGGAAACAGACGGTTACTAGTGGCGTTCAAGTTGAAATTGTGTGTAATATGTAGTTTAGATATGGGAGTGACGTGTTGAGTTTTGATAGTTGTTTTTAGGCTCTTTTTGATTGACCTTTGGTCTGGTTTTGTTACACAGACCTGGCAACCCTGTACAGAAATCCAGGACCGGTTTCCATAAAAACCAACACAGTTTCCATTATAACCATTACAAACTCTGAGGGTTTCTGTTGTTTTCTTCAGCAGTGTGGAAGTGGATGAAACCGAAAGCCTTGCACAATCAAGTTACAAACCGTGCCACTCTTATGTTCAAGTCTGGGTGGCAAAAACCCAATTAGTAATTAATTTCTCATTCAAAATTCAATTGATCTTGGGAAAAAAAAAATTAATAATTTCCAAAGAACTGAAGTATTTTCTGCTCTGATTTTAAGGTAAATTCTGCATGGATTTAAAAATGATAATATTTGTTAAGCGGAGTTGAACAATTTAAATTCAATTAGTGTATTGATTTCAACATGCCATTTTATTACAGAGATATACATTTGATCAATTTCTGGCCCAATCACAGCTCAGAAAGCTCAGATTCATCAAACATTTCACACAATTGACTTGAGCAATAAAGTAGCATCTTATATTACCGTTTGTTAGATGAAAAGTGGTTTTCTCAATCGTCCGGTCCAGGCGTGTGAACGTTCACAGTTTGTTCATGTTCATCTTTGACGTGTTTTTCCATTCTCATGTTACCTGACCTGCTTTTCCATCAGGCTCTGGTACTCCGCACAAATCTCTGAACTCTGCATGTCATAGCACTATCAGAGTCTTAAAGCCTTTGTGTTCCTGTGGAAGGATTGATTATTTGAATATCAATGAACTCAAACCCATCAGATCTTAATAGGGCTACACTGGACTCAACACACTTGTGGACTTTCAACGGACATCTCGCCTGCCTTTGCATACTTTAATTTCTTTTCTTTCCATTGGTTTTTTACAGGTGATGCTTCAGATTTTATTGAAGGACATTGTTGAACTTATATATGTGCACCATTGTGTCAGATGCTAACGGACACGAATCAAATGTATTTCTTAATGCTAACTTTGGAGAGAAATAGCTCACAGCTCAACGGCGAGGGCCGATATGGAAACTTTCATACATGTCATTATGTGTTTGTCCAAGGCATCAGGTTGTTTCTTGCACTCTTGTTTGTGTGTTCATAGTGAATTACCAAGTGTTAAATCAACCGCTTTAGTTGATTTAAACGGCACTTTCATAGTTGTGATAGTGTGAAAATACTAAAATGCTGAATTTAATATAGATAAAATTAATGAACTTTTTAAAAAACATTTAAGTTAGTGTAGCTCAAATTTCTTTGATGTACCCACAGTCTATGGATTTACCCCAATAGGGGTTATGCGCAACAGACTTCCGTATTCTGTTAATCGGGTCTCGTCGCTTCCGGTTCAAGCGTTTTGCATATGCTTCGCTAAATATGAAGCAGTTTTACTCAAGATGCCTTCAAAGTAGATACCAGTGATAATCATAACCAATGACCATCACATATGCGGACTGATATCTAGATATCTTTTCACATTTAGATATAAAAATTGAACAAAACGTCAACAATAAAAACAGCTAGCTAGTTTAACTGATTATCTTAAAAGTCCATAGATATCGCTATTATTTAATACGGCTGTTAACACGTTCTCCGACAAGCGGAAGCGATGAGACCTGTTTTCCGGGTTTGGTCAGGTGATGTTCGACATATACCCTATTCAAAATGTGACACACAGGAAGTGACGTCATTTGGACAAGGTGGCGGGAAGAGACGTAAATAATTTCGTTCAATTATAGTATTTTTACACAAATTCAATTAGTCGGCTAATCTTCAACATGTTCGGGATTAAACGTTCATTTTGGATTTATGTATTTTTAGAGTTTACAACAGAAAAGTGCTGTTTTTATAAGAGAACTCGCGGACAAATTTGCGACAGGTAGGATTCAGTTTATGGTAATTCTCATTGGTTTTTGTGGTATCCATTAAACGGCGACTAACGTCAAGACCGTGATGTGATTGGTTATCGAGGATCACGTGATCCAATTTGACCATTAAGCAGTGTTGCCAAGTCCGCGGTTTTCCCGTGAAATTGGGCTACTTTAATACTGTCGCGCGGGTTGAAGCGACCCCCATAACATGATATTTAAAGTGACCAAGTATGGTGACCCACACTCGGAATTAGTGCTCTGCATTTATCCCATCCAAAGTGCACACACACAGCAGTGAACACACACACACCGTGAACACACACCCGGAGCAGTGGGCAGCCATTTATGCTGCGGCGAGCAGTTGGGGGTTCGGTGGGCGCCTCAGTCGTGGTATTGAAGGTGGAAGAGAGTGCTGTACATTCACTCCCCCACCTACAATCCCTGCCGGAACGAGACTCGAACCCACAACCTTTGGGTTACGAGTCCGACTCTCTAACCATTAGGCCACGACTTCCCGACTAGCCCCTGTACTGCAAATTTTATCAGGGAAACCCTACCAAAAATGTGTATTTTACCCCCCGGAACGCGATTGGGCTAGGTTTGAGTAGCAATCTGGCGGGTTTTGTTGTGAAAACCTGGCAACCCTGCCGTTAGCCAACATTACAAGTTTATTGCAGTGTTGCCAACTTAGCAATTTTGTTGCTAAATTTAGCAACTTTTCAGACTACCCTAGCAACTTTTTCTTCCAAAAGCACCTGGCAACAAATTTAGCTATTTTTAAATTTTACTTGGCTACTTTTAGCAACTTTTGATAAGTGACTCGAACAATAAAAAGGCGCACATTTTCCATCTAAATTTCACAAAAAGAGGAAACCAAAGATGCCTAGAAGTACACACATCACATGAATTAATTTATTCCTATTTGCAATTGTTCAATTTGATAATAACAATAATAATTTAATAATTGTTCATTTATGATACACCTTGTTAGTAGCTTGTACATGCGATTGTTGATCAGTTAGTACACTGTAAGAAAAATATCTAGAAAAATGGCAAAGGTACTAATAATTTTCCAGGACATTATCAGTTGTAACCCGAAAACACAAAATACAATGCGTAATTTAAAATGCAGGTAAAAACCATAGACTGTATAAAAACATGGACGTAGTGTCCGTGACGTCACCCGTAGGTTCCTGAATAGGTTTTTTTTTTTAATTTTTTGGTGTAATTTTTTTATTTTTTATTTTATTTTGCATTTCAAGCATCATACCATGACAAAATAGGCTAACATAACCACAACTGTAAGTCCTCACAGACTGAGACATTCATATTAATCATACTATAACAGAGAAATAAACCATCATACAAGACATTAATCCAAATAAAAAAAAAATTAAAATATATTCATGCAACCATAAACAATGTAGGGGATTAAACAAAATCCCACTTATTAAACAACTCAAATAATTTCTTGGCTTTATCACTTCTCATAATTTTCAGGACCTCTGTATACATGGCAAGCTCCTTTTTAAAGACATTAAATTGGGGTGCTGTTTTCAGAACTTTACATTTGTGAATAAAGTATTTTATATGAGTAAACAATTTACTACAAAGTCTACACTTTTGTCCTCCAAAAGAACTCCAAATTTCAACATGTCCCAAGTAATAGATGGAAAAATAGATATTCTTTGTTTAATCCAATTACATACTTCAGTCCAAAACGAATTAACCAGATAACGATGGAAAAATAAGTTCAACAGTCTCTACATCATTATTACAAAATTGACAAATATTACAATCCACATTCAATCTTAATCTCAGAGATTCCTTAGCAGGGTAAACATCGTACAAAATGTTAAAGTGCACTTCTTTATATTTTGGTGGAAGAGGAAATAACTAATATTTGTATCTAAATTCATAAACTGGTTTCTTATTTAGATCTTGAAAAATATAGTTCCTTCTTATTGGACCAGGATAGCTTTCCTGCACAAGACGATTTCTTATAAACTTATTAGTACACTTCTCATCTACAATATTTATTTTGCCTAATTTAAGATCCAAAATCTTGGGAATGATAGTGGAGTATGTTAAAATCCCCTTTAGCATATTAAGGAATGGTAAAGGAATACTTTTAGTAACTTTGAAATAAACTTTTTCCTCACACTTAAAATGAAATTTAGTGCAGAAATCATTCTAACTAAAAGAGCAGCCGTTCTTATCCATAATGTGCAGCACTGACCAAATACCTCTTTGCCACCAGTCCTCCAGAAATAAAGATTTTCTTTCAAATAAAATACAACGATTATTCCATAAGGAAACATTATGAGGACTGAAGTTATGTTTAAACAGCATTTTCCAATACAAGGGGACTTGTTTATGAAAATCCGACAGTTTCAGTGGAATTTTAGATATCTCAAAGTCGCATTGTAAAAAAAACTTTATACCTTTTTAAACAAACTGGATGGAATTGCAAACCAGTATGAATGCTCATTTCTAATAAAAGACTGAAGCCATTTAAGTTCAAGTACTCCATTCATAATATCAAAATCTATTGCCTTTAACCCACCATCCTCATATTCTCTTATTATATCATTTTTCCCTATATAGTGATACTTTTTCCTCCAAATGAAATCAAAATTAAGTTTATTAATTGCTTTTATCTTTCTGGAAGAAATTGGCAATGAAAAACCTGGGAAAATTAATCTAGAAAGACTTTCAATTTTCGATAGCAATATTCTCCCGAATCGCTCTGTAACCAAGAGTTCATAATTGATCTACATTTTTCAATTTTTTTGTCAATATTTAACATTTCAATTCTCTCTACATCTTTTGAAATCCTGATACCTAAATATTTCACCTCCTTCTTGATTGAAACAACCTGAAGAGGTTTTTGAAGCTCAAAGTGGGCGGAGCCGGCCGTCGCCATCTTGGTAGCGCGTCACTCCCGGATAATCGAAAATGGGCAAAGAGGCGGGAGCTGGTTACTGAAACCACGCCCACCTAGCTCGACGGTGGCGACAATCCACCTGTCACTCAAGTGGCCACGCCCTTAATTATGCAGAACTTTAAGGCTTAATATAAAATTAGCTATATAGACCAAAACCACTTTTTGAACCAGGCTGTAAACATGTTTTTTTCTGCTGTAAAGTTGGGCATTTTAACATGGGGAGTCTATGGGACTGACTCTCTTTTGCAGCCAGCCTCTAGCGGCCAGTTGATGAATTACAGTTTTAGTCACTTCCGTTTCGGTTTCATGAGAAAGAGCGAGAGGTTGCCGCTTGGTAAAAACCTGTGATTTATTTTCTTAGAGTGTAGCATACTGACTACTAATACACTGCTTAAAACTATAATTGTTCAGAATGTGTAGTTTTACTAGTTTACTAGCTAATAAAAAAACTTGTGATCGTTCAAAAATTAAATCGTTCAAAAGTGTTCAATGTTGTATATAAAAATTGTTATTTATATTTGAACATTATATTATGCATCTATATTATTTTACGAACAAATCTAAATGAACATATAAAATATATTTTTGCTGAGATCTGATGTAGCGACACAATTTTGCGTCGTGATTACGTAATGACGTCATCGCGCAAATGACTTCACAACGTCATTTAGCAACTTTTAGGAGAGGGTGCTCGCTGCAGAGCCAAATGGGAGGAGCTGGAGCTCTAGCTCCCCCTCCCTGGATGTAATGGGTGGAGCTAGACACCCAACCACTCCCTAACCCTACCCCTTACCCTATCGCTAAACATAACTCCACCCATTAGTTCACACAGAGGGGGAGCTGGAGGTCATTTGGGTCTGCAGAGAGCAGTACTTGACTTCTAGCAGCAAATCGAACTTCCTTTAGCAACTTCCCCTGAAAATTAGTTGGCAACACTGGTTTATTGCTATAAACAGCTATAAAAGTATTTCAAGTACTGATTATAAACCTCTTATGCCTTGAATAGAAAACAAAACAGCTCATATATTGTAGTTTTTCCTACTGAGGTGTAACTTTTAAAGTTAGCCTTTTCTGTACCATTTTTGTGGAAAGTGCCAAATTTCGATGACCTAGAAAGTGGTTGGTTTAACACTGGTCAGTCACATGTGAGTCTGGTTCTGTTTTTTGAGCGCTTTTGTGACCGATATAAGAACAAACACATGGAATCTGATCCTGGATCAGTGAATTCAATATGCATACAGGCCCAAATCTCATTCTTACATCTCCAGAGTCCAGAGAAAGAGAGATTTACTATAGATATCATTGATGGCTATTATTTTTCAGAGCTGACATGTTTTAAAGTAATATAGATATACAGCGTTACACTCTGTAGATTGTAGGATTGTTGTGGGAAATATTTCTTTTACAATCAAAATAAAGTTTTATTTAACAAGAACATGGCAAGCAACGGATGTGCTGTTTGTTGTTTGATAGTGCTTTTCTATTGTTCAGGTTATAGGAGAAAGCATTATATGGATTATAGACTCATATTTTAGTCTGAAGCAATAGTTTGATGTTAAAATGTCTTGGATGATGGATTTGTTTCTTACAAACACACAGCTTTTGGCATCACAAGATGTTAACTGATGGACTGGAGTGGTGTGTGGATTATTGTGATGTTTTTATCAGCTGTTTGGACTCTCATTCTGACGGCACCCATTCACATCCATTGGAGAGCAAGTGATGCAATGCTACATTTCTCCAAATCTGATGAAGAATCAAACTCATCTACATCTTGGATGTCCTGAGGGTGAGTAAATTGTCAGGTAACTTCCATTTTTTGGGGTGAACTTTTGCCTGTTAAAAGACAGAAATCCAGGCGTGGCCTTTTTATTTGTGTGCATTTTGTATGAAGGAGCAGAAATTGTAAACAGTAAAGAAAGTGGAAAAGCGTCTTTATTTTAAAATGATGCTAATTAATTCAATTTCTTACGGCACATATTCTGAAATGTACAAACTTTATTCTTAATACATGAAATCAGCAAAATTATAATGTAAAGCTTCTTAATATCTAAAAGGGTGTTTTTGGACTTTAAAAAGGGCTTCTGTAGAGCATAATGATCTGCTTCAGTTTCTTACACACACACAACAGGGGATTTTATCTGGAGAGACGAAGAAAGAAAACATGAACACAGGATCTAAAGTATGTTCGCACATTCAGCACTCGCCAACACAGTGTGAAATATACAGTACGCTGAGGCTTTTTGAGTGGTTTCTAGTGCATTACAGTGTGGTTTCGTATTGTCTGAAGTGAAAAGACTGAACTGTTGAATCATCAGGATCATTAGATCTTGACATGTATATCAATCTGCTGCTGTTTTTAAATGTCGTCCTTGTCTTTGGCCCCGTGTTTGAGGATGCGAGTGAACTCCACATAGTTAAAGTTTCCTTTTTTGTCAATTGGCGCCTCGCGAAACAGCTCGTCCACTTCTTCATCAGTGAAACGATCACCCATGGTGGTCAGCAGCTCGCGGAGATGGTCCTCATGGATGAACCCTGTTACAGACGTCACATAAGGCTGTCTGTGAAGATCTCAATCTCTGAGTCATTATAAAGAAAATCAGGCGCCATTTGTGTCTTTCAAAAATGGATACAATTGTCTGACAATGAACAGTTGATGACAGTTTTTACTATAATAATATAAACGATTTTCTAAACAGATCAACAAAAATCCAATAAATGTATTAGTGACCATGGACCAGAAAACCAGTCATAAGGGTCAGATCTTGGGAAGCTGAATAAATAAGCTTTCTTTTGATGTATAGGACAATATTTGGCCGAGATCCAACTATTTGAAAATCTGGAATCTGAGGGTGCAAAAAAATCTAAATATTGAGAAAATCACCTTTAATGTTGTCCAAATGAAGTTCTTAGCAATGCATATTACTAATCAAAAATTAAGTTTTGATATATTTACGGTAGGAAATGTACTAAATATCTTCATGGAACATGATCGTTACTTAATATCCTTTTTGGCATACAAGACATTCGATAATTTTGACCCATACAATGTATTGTTGGCTATTGCTACAAATACACCCGTGCTACTTATAACTGGTTTTGTGCTCCAGGGTCATATTTTATTTTGAATGCTTTTTCCCCTTTATATCACGAGGATGCTTTTTTTTTGTCTGTCCTTTAAGGTCAGTGTTATTTTAATATCATTGAAAATACTATTGTAATTTTTATTAATATTTTGAATTAGTTCTTTTTTTATATGAATTAAATTGTAATTTTTTTAACTTAAATTTTTGTCAAATGTTTAGTAATTTTATTGTGTTTTTGTCATTTTTTTAAAACGTTTGTATAGTGTTTATTTTGTTTTATTCTTTCATTAAAGTTTGAGTTATTTTAGTACATCAAATTAAACTAAAAGAACATGAGAAATGTTTTATAATTATAATTGTAATAGTTCATTTTAATGTAATGAATTATTTCAGAAAGCTATGTTTTTTTAATCGGTTTATTTAACATTTGTTATGTTTGTCAGGGAAAATCTTAAATATCAACAGTTCCCATGATTTTGTACAGTAAATTTGCTCTTTCTGAGAAGCTTGTAGTTTCATGACTTTGAGAACCAGGCTTATAATGTCATTTTAAGCTGTCAATCCTCTTACTTTCATGAGGGCATAATTATACCAAAACATGTATTTAGATCTATTATTTGAGCTTGAGATGACACAATGCAGTTAATTAACACATAAAGACATGATTTGTTCACTAGGACAAGGCTGTACCAGAAGCTTCTTCGTCAAAGCACGTGAAGGCGTTTCGGATGACGTCTTCAGGATCGGTGCCGTTCAGACGTTCTCCAAACATGGTGAGGAACATGGTGAAGTTGATGGGACCCGGAGCTTCGCTCATCATTCCCTCCAGGTACTCGTCAGACGGGTTCTTCCCTGGAGAAACAGAAATAAATGCTCAGATGCAGGGCTGCTTTTCCACGCACACATTAAACCTGCTCTTCACATCAAGCTTAATGTGTGTTGGTAAAACCATTCCAGTGTGGTTGGTGAGAAATGGTTGATATTTGGCCTGCAGAATATTATTGGCAAAAGATATTATTGGATGGTCAAATTAATAAATAAATAAATGAATAAAAAAAATTCTAAATAAATTTTTTTTATAATTCAGATAAAACAAGGATATTATTCCTCACAAAACCTTATCTTTCAAACTAATGTTATATTTCAGTATTTCAGTTCAAAAGAAAAATGAATCTTCATATATATATATATATATATATATATATATATATTCTACAAATAATATTTTAAAATATAAAATATATATATATATATATATATATATAAAATATTCATTATATATACAATGGTGTGAAAAAGTGTTGGCCCCCTTCCTGATTTCTTATTTTTTTGCATGTTTGTCACACTTTAATGTTTCAGATCATCAAACAAATTTAAATATTAGTAAAAGATAACACAAGTGAACACAACATGCAGTTTTTAAATGAAGGTTTTTATTATTAAGGGAAAACAAAATCCAAAACTACATGGCCCTGTGTGAAAAAGTGTTAGCCCCCTAAACCTAATAACTGACAGACAGACAGACAGACAGACCGACAGACAGATAGAGAGACCGACGGATAGATAGACCGACAGATAGATAGACAGATAGACGGATAGATAGACAGATAGACAGATAGATAGATAGACCGACCGACAGACTGACCGACCGACCGAACGACCGACAGACAGACAGATATAGACAGATAGACAGACCGACCGACAGATAGACAGACAGATAGATAGATGGATAGATAGATAGACGGACAGATAAATAGATAGATGAATGGATGGATAGACAGACAGACGGACAGACAGATAGATGGATAGACCGATAGACAGATAGACCGATAGACAGATAGACAGACAGATAGATAGATAGATAGATAGATAGATAGATAGATAGACGGACAGATAAATACATAGATAGATGGATGGATGGATAGACAGACAGACGGACAGACAGATAGATGGATAGACCGATAGACAGATAGACAGATAGACAGATAGACCGATAGACAGATAAATAGATAGATGGATGGATGGATAGACAGACAGACAGACAGACAGACAGATAGATGGATAGACCGATAGACAGATAGACAGATAGACCGATAGACAGATAAATAGATAGATGGATGGATGGATGGATAGACAGACAGATAGATGGATAGATAGATAGACCGATAGACAGACAGACAGACAGACAGACAGATAGATAGATAGATAGATAGATAGATAGATAGATAGATAGATAGATAGATAGATAGATAGATTACCCAGAGAGGCCAGCATGTCGTGTAGATCCTCTTTATCGATGAATCCGTCTCTGTTCTGATCGATCATGTTGAAGGCCTCTTTGAACTCCTGGATCTGTGATTGGTCGAACATGGCGAAGACGTTGGACGTGGCCCTCTGCGGCCGCTTCTTTGTGGTCTTTCCTTTGGCACGCTTGGCTGCAGACATTCTGACCGCAGGGTTTGCTTCTGCAGAAGAAAGAGATAAGAGATTCAATTCATCAGAGTCCACTTATCTCAGTCTGGAGGACAACGCACAATACCATGGAGTATGACAGATAAAGTGTTTTCAATGTACAAAATTACACAAAACAACACTCTGTATATGCATTCAGTCTTATATCATAATAGTTAGAGGCACATTTGATGCTGTCAAAATGAAATTGACATGAATTTTCAAGCAGAAGCATCCTGCGGTGTGACATTCATTGAAAATTTTTTTTTTGTAATTCTTCTAAAAGTACAGAATTAAAGGGACTACTAGGAATATTTATACTGAAAATAATTCATGTCAAATTACATGTCCAATTAAATTACTAAATCAAGGTAGTAAAAGCAAATATATGTACGTATATAAGCCTACATACAATATACAATACAAATGTTTTTGTGAGGTATTAATAATTTAAATTAAATGTCATATGAAACCTGCTTAAAAAAGAAAATATGTATTTATTTATTTTAAATAAGTAATATATATATATATATACCTATTTTTTAGAACATACAATGTTTGTACTGAAAAAATGCACACACACACACAAAAGACTGAAAATGGTGAAATGTTACATAACCTAAAATATACACGTTCACTTATACACATAGGAACCCTAAACCTTGCTGTTGAATGATAGACTTTACATATTTCAAATGTAAAATACCATAAAGAAACCGTTCTGAAACTATCATACATTTACACTGCACTGAGACATTTACAAAATCAACCTGTTCAGAAGTTAAAGCTGGAACTATATTATATATCCGTTAACTATTAACAAAGCCATCAACGATTAGGAGTTCTTAAAGTAGCTGTACCTTGTTTTTGAGTTGAAAAGGGTTGGAGAAGGTCTGTTCCTGCGCTGGGCTGAAGGGAAGTTAGTTTCTGCACACCTCCCTGTTCCTGAGCCGGCCAATAAGGTCAGCGTCCCGCAGCCGGGCGCATCTGGAGCCTTTAGCCATACAAGGCAAAGGAATCTGAGAGCGGCAGACCTCACATATCCTGAGAAACAGCAGAGAGTTTTCACAATGGCCAGAAGGAGGCCTTATTTAGCAAACCAATGACTGAGTAATGCAGCACAAAAGAAACATTTCCTTTGGCAGGCAGTGCAGATGAAGGCTTTCTGCAGGTTACGAGACTCAGTTCAGGCCGGCTGAGGGTTTTGCATGATAGGAAAAACGATGCAAATGTATGAACTGCTGGCTTGGTAACGTGAGATACATCCTAGTCATCGCCGTTCGTCTTCTTTTCAAATATTTCTATGCATGAATGAATTTATCATATCATTCCCGTAGAAAAATCCAGAGCTATGGAAATGTCTCTGCTGCAAGCAGTGTTTGTTTAAGTGGTAAAAAAATAAAATGTGTAAATAAGTAGATGCATGAATTGCATAAATTAAACAATAGTGTGATGATGTGTCTTGGTAGCAAGTTAAAAGGTCACAATATTTTCCATGTTTGTGCATAAGCATAATGTGTATTTATATTTACTATATATTTTTGTGTGTAAAGACACAATTTCAATAATAAATATAAAAAATGTTTAATGATTAAATTAAATATTTTTATACTATTATTTGGAAAATATTTCAATTCTTTTAATATTTTATGATGTTGAGATTCTTTTAAGGTTAAGTTTATCTTTCTATTTAGTAATGAATTATTATGTTAAATGAATTAAATGTTTATTGTATACTTATTTTAATCTATTTTTAATTATTATTTAAATTATTCCTTATTTTTATATTTTAAAATTTGTTATGTAAAATGTTTTATATATTAAAAATATATATTTATATATCAAAATTGTATTATATACAGTACTTATTTTATTTTTAATGCAATTTATTATCATCTAAATGTATTTATTTTAATTTGATTGTTTATTTGAAAATGTTTTACATTTGCACTGTAAGATTTGTAAACATCTGAAGATATTATTTGGTTATTTTAATCAAATGTTTATTTTACACTCATTTATTTGAATATAATTTTTATTGTATGCATAATTATTTTAAGCATTTTTATTGTTTATGTATTGTAATCTATTAGTTTTTGTTTGCACATAATTTCTTGTAGGGTAGAAAATGTCTGTCTAGAAGACCAATTTAAGTTTATACACCATTCATATCAATTAATGTGTCAAAATTCATACAACAAATATCATATAATAAAACCAAAGGATTCCATAAGTTAATTAATACACTGTCGCTGACCTGTTAAGGAACACAGATTGCAGTACTTTTTAGAATATAATTGTTCTATAATATTCCCATGTTTAGTGGTTCGTTATATAAACTGATATGTTATGCATTATAAAATGTATATTGCTTTACATGCGCCACATAATTTCTAAATGATGTTAAGTATATCCAATCAGACAAGCGCAACAAACCCCGCCCCCAAGCGGCTTCAGACCGTGATTGGTTGAGACCGTCGAGCGGCAAAAGTTACTGGCTTATTACCGTTTCCTCCAGCAGAGGGCGCGGATCTCCGCATTCAAGATATGTGTTATATAAACTACACAATATATACACATTTTTAAAAATAATTTTATTAATTTATACCTGACATATAAATAAAAATAGGCGCCATTGTCTACTACAAAATTGTTATTAAAAGCCTCATCTGATTAATTCACTGTTAGGAAAAGTAACATGTATCACGTGACAACGCTTTCCTCCCAGAAGCGGTTTGGATATTTTTTGCACCTGCAGTAATTATACTGAGAACTTTAATATGATCAAACTGAAAGAGCACTGAAAGAAAAGTAGATATAAAATAATAATTATTTATACCGATCGTGCCTGGCCAATCACAAACAAGACTTGCGCCGCTAACCCCGCCCATTCTGTCACTCCGTCGATGCTAGTCGCGCTTCTAGCGTGTGTTGTTTTGTTTTGTTTTTCTAAGGGTGGGATGTTTCGTGGGCATCTCCGGCAGACACAGACACTTCCTGAAACACGGCGGTCACATCAAGTCTGCTCTGTCCCAGAGCTTTAATGGAAACACAGTTTGAATGGGAAATGGTCCCATCTGGGCTAAACGCAGCAGATGTGCAATAACGCAAGGGCCGGTAATGACCTAATCTCAGTCTCGTGATACCTGCGCAGGTGGACTGACCTCTGCTGACCTCTGCTGACCCTCACACCTGTCCGTCAAGATCGTCAAATCTGCAGCTAAAGTCATGGACAATTCAAATGACCTCAAGAAGGCGGAGCCCAGAGTCAACGAGAAGAAATGCTGTGAGTTATTGTTATTATTTATGATCATTTGAATACTTTTGAGATTCAGTGCATTGATTAAATGATTTGTGGGGATTCAAACTAGTGACCTTTTAGTCACCAGCTTGGATCTAGGCTGGCTACTGCACTCACATGTAGCTAAATGTGAATAGTGAGGTATTGTTTTGCATCATTTGGGGGGATGTAGCCTCTTGGTTAAAGATATGAGCTGATAACTGAAAGGTTGTAGGTTCAAAACCTGATTATTTAACACCAGGGAACTCTGAAGTGTTTATGATGACTACAGTTATTGAGCTGCAAGTCAAGGGGTTTCTGTCTTTTAGATGGCAAAGATCTCCAGATATGATCATCCTCATGCGAGAGACCCATTTATACTAATTTAAATATTAATATTTTAACTTATAGTAATAATAATAGATTCTATTGTTTTGTTCCTACTCGCTACAGTTTTTATTTGTTTGTTTAAATTTTTATTATGCATTTATTTAATCTTTTTTTATTTGTAACAATTTTTACATTTTATTTTTTTTAATCAAATTTATTTTTTATTTATTTGTTTGTTTTAATCTAATAATTGTATTATTTTTTTATTTAATTTATTTTGATCTTGTTTTAGTTTTTTTTATACATTTTATGCATTTTTTAAAAATATATTTAAACATTTATACATTATGCATATATAGGTTTTTGGCGGTCACAGATGTAAGATCGTATAATATATGCAACATCATGCTTATTAAATGACTCATTTAGAGTGTATTGATGAGGTTATGAAGATGTGTTTCTGTACAACATCACCCCCACCGTCGTTTTGATTTTTTATAGTAATAAAAAAATCATTTAGTTCAGTAAAAGAACAGACACTACAATTAAAAATTGAATGCGGCTGCTCAATGCAGCGTACCGGACGACAGTCGCATCCCAGATCAGATTTAATTTATCACGTGAGAAGAGACAGACAAGTCGATCGCGGATGATTTAGTTTCGAAACGAGATGCAAAAGCGCCTGTTTGGCAATATTTTGGATTTTGAAAAGCCTGTCGACTTTTGCCGTTTATCTAAGGTGATTCTGGAATAGTGAGGTAGATATGTGGGGGCGTGTTAGAACGAGCCATTTTAGGGGGGCGTGGCAGAGTCTTAACTTTGATAAAGAATATCTCTTTGGTTTTGAGACTTTAGTCTTTTGCAACTTCAGGGATCTTATCTATGCACAATCAGCTTGTAACACTCCAAAGAGAAAGGAAAACTTGAAATCGCATCATATGACCCCTTTAAGCTATTTAAAAGCGAAGGAAAGCGAGGAAAAGAGGGAAAATTCAAACGAACTAAAGCTTTACTCAGAATTGCCGCTATTTTAAAGTGAAAGTCAAATAGGCACACCACTTTTACAAGCTATTTAAAAGCGAAGGAAAAGAGGGAACGCCCCCGCAGTGATACCGGTATTACCGGTGTTGTCACACGTCGATTAACCGGTGGGAAAATGTCCTCACCTTCACAACCCTTGTAAGAAGCCCCTTGTTTTAGTTGGCAGTGCTTGTGATGGCCGTCTGGGAACTTTGCACTTCAAGACATGCTGTAGTTTTTCAAAATGAGTCTTAATGAGCTTTAACATGTTCGTTCAAGCTGAAAGAGAAGTCTAAATCAGATTGGAATTTAAGCTTTGGGTCCAGAAAGGGTTTTTGTGGAATGTAAAGCCAAGTTAAGAGGTGTGTCGGATCCTGTTTTTCTTCTTCAGCACAGAGTAATATATTGATGAACAGGCAAGAACATCATAGAGACTTGGTGTACAGCCCTTGCAATCATCCTGAACACCTTAGCAACCCTATAGCAACCCAGTCAAATATAAAATTGATGTAATTTGCAAGATGTGTTATTGCTAACTAACTAACTAAAAACAACAAAAAAAATAAATTAATACAAATAAAGTAATAATATACATGTGGAAATCTATAATAAATATATTGTATTTTATCATTGTTATTATGGTTTATTATTTTAAATATATTTTATTGTAAATATAACAAAATATCAGTATTAGATGAAACCTAAATTAAAATAAAATAAGAAATATTGCCCTCACAACTTAAAATTACTTAAATTAAAACGGAAATAAAAATGAATTAATGCTATTTAGATATATATATATATATATATATATATATATATATATTAAAAAGATACATAAACAAACTATAAAAATAAAAGCTAATTCAAAATATTTATAAATGCTATAATAGTATATAAATAATACTAAAATAACACTTATTTGCTGAAATATGCATGATATGTTGCTCAAAATATTAATGTATGTAAAAATGTTAAAAAATAAAATCATTTTATTTTAAATGTAATATAAAATATAAATATTAGATGACATGAAACTTACGTTAAAATAAAATAAAAAATGGTGCCTTGGCAACTAACTAAAATATATAGGTTTAAGCTGATGTACTAAAATTATTCAAACTAAAACTGAAATAAAATCAAGTAAGCTATATAGAAATATTACCAAAAAATCTACAAAGTGCAAAAGCATATAACAAAGTTACTAAAACTTAAAATTGACAATATAAAAATGAAAGCAAATTCAAAATATTAATAAATACCATAATAATGTAGAAATAATATTGTATGTATGCATGGTGGGTATATGGGTTTGCTGTTGAGCTGCTGTTTCGTTCTCAGAAACGTGTGGCAGTTATTAACTACAGGAAGCCTCAGGCTACGCTCTTGCATAATTGATAAGGAAATTATGTCAATAACTTCAGCAGCATGAAAGCTTCATGCCCTCAGTGTAATCCTCATGAACGTCACTTATTTCCAGGCATGAGAAACATCTGAACTGTGTGCAACTGTTATGAGTATAAATATGATGACCTGTTGTTAATGCTGGTTTGTCCTGCACTGAGAAGGGAATTGTTAAAAGTAAATGATGTGTGTTTGTTTGTTTTCATAGCATGGGCGTCATACATGACTAACTCCCCTACTGTCATCGTACTGATCGGCCTTCCCGCCAGAGGAAAGACATACATATCCAAGAAGCTGACGCGATACCTCAACTGGATCGGGGTTCCCACGAAAGGTGAGAGATAAATGAGCTCATTCAACATACTTCTGTATTTATTATAATTACTTATGTAATTATTCCTGGGGATGAAACACCAAAATTATTTCTTAAATGAAGTGAAGTGAGTGAAGTGACATGTGGCCAAGTATGGTGACCCATACTCGGAATTAGTGCTCTGCATTTACCCATCCAAAGTGCACACACACAGCAGTGAACACACACAAACCGTGAACACACACCCGGAGCAGTGGGCAGCCATTTATGCTGCGGCGCCCGGGGAGCAGTTGGGGGTTCGGTGCCTTGCTCAAGGGCACCTCAGTCGTGGTATTGAAGGTGGGAGAGAGCGCTGTACATTCACTCCCCCCACCTACAATCCCTGCCGGTACGAGACTCGAACCCACAACCTTTGGGTTAAGGCCACGACTTCCCCCGTACCAGTAAGAATGAATAATCTGAATTCATTCAAATAATTTTTTTAAAAGTTAAATCATTTTTGACTCAATATAACTATTACATGGTTTTCAGGAAGCTTGTTTCCACAACAAGATAAAAAAAAAATTAAAAAGGTATTTGTGACTTTTTAATTGAACAATTCAGACTTTTTTCCCCCTCATTCTGAATTGTGACATGCAATTCTGAGAAGAGAAATGTGTAAAATTTTTATTTCATGGTGTAAATAGGTTTGCAACATGCAAACTAGCATTTACGAGTTTATAACTTGCAATTGAGAAAAAAAGACAAAATCAAAATTGAAAGAAAAAAGTAACAATTGTGAGATATAAACTTGCAATTGTGAGAAAGTCATAATTTTGAGATATAAACTCACAAACTCACCCAGATAATCTGAATTCATTCAAATAATTTTTTTAAAAGTTAAATCATTTTTGACTCAATATAACTATTACATGGTTTTCAGGAAGCTTGTTTCCACAACAAGATAAAAAAAAATTAAAAAGGTATTTGTGACTTTTTAATTGAACAATTCAGACTTTTTTCCCCCTCATTCTGAATTGTGACATGCAATTCTGAGAAGAGAAATGTGTAAAATTTTTATTTCATGGTGTAAATAGGTTTGCAACATGCAAACTAGCATTTACGAGTTTATAACTTGCAATTCTGAGAAAAAAAGACAAAATCAAAATTGAAAGAAAAAAGTAAGAATTGTGAGATATAAACTTGCAATTGTGAGAAAGTCATAATTTTGAGATATAAACTCACAAACTCACCCAGCTCTCCGTGCCCACCTCCATCTGTCAGTGGATCACCAGCTTCCTGACAGACAGGCAGCAGCTAGTGAGGCTGGGAAAATACACATCCAGGACTATCACCATCAGCACTGGCGCCCCCCAGGGATGTGTACTCTCCCCACTGCTCTTCTCTCTCTACACGAATGACTGCACCTCTAAAGACCCCTCTGTCAAGCTCCTGAAGTTCGCAGACGACACTACAGTCATCGGCCTCATCAAGGATGGAGACGAGTCTGCTTACAGACAGGAGGTTAAAGAGCTGGCTGTCTGGTGCAGTCTTAACAACCTGGAGCTTAACACGCTCAAAACTGTGGAGATGATCGTGGACTTCAGGAGAAAACCCCCTGCACTCCCCCCACTCACCATCATGGACAGCACTGTGACTGCAGTGGAGTCATTCAGGGTCCTGGGCACCACAATCTCTCAGGACCTGAAGTGGGACACTCACATAGACTCCATTGCAAAAAAGGCCCAGCAGAGGTTGTACTTCCTTCGCCAGCTGAGGAAATTCAACCTGCCACAGGAGCTGCTTAAACAGTTCTACTCTGCTATCATTAAGTATGTCCTGTGTTCATCCATAACTGTCTGGTTTGGTTCAGCAACCAAATCAGACATCAAGAGACTACAACGGACAGTCAGGACTGCTGAGAGGATTATTGGTGCCCCTCTGCCCAGCCTCCAAGATCTTTACATCTCCAGAGTGAGGAAAAGGGCTAAAAAAAAATCACCTTGGACCCCTCACACCCAGCCCACTCTCTCTTCCAACTGTTGCCTTCTGGTCGGCGCTACAGAGCACTGACCACCAGAACAGCAAGGCACAAGAACAGTTTTTTCCCACAGGCTATACTATAGTCTAAACAATTAAGCTTTCAAAATTATACAACTAACATAGTATATTTATATTAAACTGCACACTTTGTAAATAACATATCTATCTGCACACTAATAAACATATCTGTACATTTATCTAAACAATTAAATTTTTTCCTATACTTCTATTTCTGTATATAGTACATTATTCAATTTTTATTTTTATTTTTTATTATATTAGTTTTATATTACATCCCTACTGTGATATTCCTATGTATGTCTACACTATCATGTATGTCTGCACTATGTTTGTACTTTCTTCTACACTGGAAGCTCCTGTCGTCAAGTCAAATTCCTTGTGTGTGTAAACATACTTGGTAATAAAGCTCTTCTGATTCTGATTCTGATAAGAAGTGCACGGCCGCACATGCGCGCAGCTTAGAGGGAACATTGATAGTAAGTGTATTAATGTTTTTTGAGAGATGAGGTTACACATACTGTAGATGCAAGTGACACAAGGATCGTTGTTACTGAAGCGCAATAAAAAAAGCTAAATAAAATTTGTTTTTTTATTTTTAAATAATAATTAAATTAAATTTAAAAAATATAATAAATATATACAAAACTTTATTTATAATAAATAAAATTATTTAATTATTGTTTTTCTTATAATTATATGTATTGCTGGTAAATTTTCTCAATTCACCTGTTATTGTTAAAAATATTTTTCATTGGGCCAAATACAGACACTTGAGCCACTCCATTAATGAGAGACAATACCTACCAGAAACTTGGGAGACATAACCTCAGTTGGATCACTGATCAATGACTTAAAACAGATTGGTGGATTTTACTACAGCACTAATCTATAAGAATTGTGAGATATAAAATAGTATGAATTGTGAGATATGAACTTGCATTTGTGAGAAAAGAATTGTGAGATTTGAACTTGCATTTGTGGGAAAAAGTATGAATTGCGAGATATGAACTTGCATTTGTGGGAAAAAGTATGAATTGCGAGATATAAACTAGTATGAATTGCGAGATTTGAACTTGCATTTGCGAGAAAAAGTAAGAATTGCGAGATTTGAACTTGCATTTGCGAGAAAAAGTAAGAATTGTGAGATATAAAATAGTATGAATTGTGAGATATGAACTTGCATTTGTGGGAAAAAGTATGAATTGCGAGATATAAACTTGCATTTGCGAGAAAAGAATTGTGAGATATAATCTTGCATTTGCGGGAAAAAGTATGAATTGCGAGATATGAACTTGCATTTGCGGGAAAAAGTAAGAATTGTGAGATATGAACTTGCATTTGCGGGAAAAAGTAAGAATTGCGAGATATGAACTTGCATTTGCGAGAAAAAGTAAGAATTGCGAGATATGAATTTGCATTTGCGAGAAAAAGTAAGAATTGCGAGATATGAATTTGCATTTGCGAGAAAAAGTAAGAATTGCGAGATATGAATTTGCATTTGCGAGAAAAAGTAAGAATTGCGAGATATGAATTTGCATTTGCGAGAAAAAGTAAGAATTGCGAGATATGAATTTGCATTTGCGAGAAAAAGTAAGAATTGCGAGATATAAAATAGTATGAATTGTGAGATATGAACTTGCATTTGTGGGAAAAAGTATGAATTGTGAGATATAATCTTGCATTTGCGGGAAAAGGTAAGAATTGCGAGATATGAACTTGCATTTGCCAGAAAAAGTCAGAATTGCGAGATTAAAAAGTCACCAAATTTTTTTTTTTTTTTTTTTTTTAATTCCCTTGCAGAAACAAAACGGGTGCAAACTAGCAATTTTACTGGTTTATAACTTGCAAAGTCAGAATTGTGAGATAAAAACTCAGAATTGCAAGAAAAAAAATCTCCAATTACCTTTTTTATTTCTTATTCCATCACAGAAAGAAAAAAAAACAAACAAAAAAACAATTGCAAGATGTAAACACAAAATTACAAATGTATACCTTTCTAGTCTTGGTATATTTCTAGCATTGGCACTGGATCTATAAAATATTATACTATTATGTTTGACTCTGAAGTTTCCAAAAAGACTGTTGCTTTCCCTGTATGCTGGTAACGGTTGTGTGTTTCTGTCAGTTTTTAACCTGGGCGTTTATAGACGGGAGGCGGTACAGTCGTACAAGTCTTACGACTTCTTCCGTCACGACAATAAAGAGGCCATGAAAATCAGGAAGTGAGTATCCACACCGTTACACCTGCATTACACAAATACCTCTGACAACAAGAGGATGTTTCTACAGCAGTCTTGTGTCAGTCATTTCAGGAAATGATCAGGAGGAAGTTTTGAGTTGTACTGTGACATAATGTCATATTCACAACAAACTGTGTTTCTAATAAGCAAGAATAAACACATTTTATTTTATTTTATTGATTCCGATTTGATGTACATTGTTTCCTCAAACCGGTGCTGATAAATCGAGTCAGTGTCAGTCGGCATCATCTGCTGGTGCTGTTGAGTTGAATGTGGTTGTGGCAGTTCTGGTTCTGGTCTGATGATTGGCCGTCTCTTGTTTCTCACAGACAGTGTGCCATCGTGGCTCTAGAGGATGTGAAATCTTATCTGAATGAGGAGGGAGGGCAGATCGCTGTAAGTTCTGCTCTTTGGACTTCACACATACTGAAACTAGAATTTCTTCATTTATTAGCTCAAATATTAATCACTTGTGTGCTGGAGTGTTTTGTGTTATTTGTCTTGCATAAATATGCAGTTGTTTCAAAGTGTATCGTTGCATCAGATCAGTGGTGTCAATGTTATTAAAATTATTTTTGTTCATAGAAATGAAGCTGAAATAAAATTAGATGGAAAATATAGAATTAGGAATGCCGCTTTGGCAAATAACGGAAATAAATAATAATAATAAAAAAAACTGAAATAAGTAAATTAATGCTAAATAGAAATATAAAAAAAGACAAAAATCACATAATATAATTATTACAACTTAATAAAATAGGCAACTAACTAAAAAAAGTTTGTTGAAGTACTATCATTATTAAAACTTCTAAAAACTAAAATTAAAATAAATTAAAGTTAAATATAAATATTTTTTAAAAATATATAAAAATGGCAAAAGTTCATAATAGAATCACTACGATTTAAATTAATATTAAAATTGGCAACTAACTGAAATACGTTTAAGATCAAATGCTAAAATGATTAAAACTACTAAAAACTGGAATGAAAATCAATTTAAACAGAAATATTTTTAAAATAATAAAGACATGTAATAAAACTAATACAAATTAAAATAAAATGAAAGCTAAATGTAAATAAGAAATTAAAATGATGTGTTGGCAACTAGCTAAAATAAAAATACTATAAACTAAAATAAAAATAAATTAAAGCTAAACAGAAATATATAAAAAAAATTACTTGAAGTGAGAAAATTATTAGAATGAAAATATAAAAATAAAGCTAATTCAAATGATTAATGAATACTATAATATATCAAATAAAATAAAAAAAATCACTGCCCCAGATGCTGTTTAAACATTTCATCATATCACATTGTCTTTAGAAAAACTCAGATCCATACCTTCATTTCATTAATATTTGCCATACCAATTTCTATACCAGTCAAAAAGAGCATAAAATAAATCAATGTCATTACAATCAATTAAAAATGCTTTAGAGGTTTCTATGACACATAATTGCACTTGTGACATAAGCAAATTATTCTAATAGTTTGATTATATTTGATGAGATATTTCCTCATTTCACTTCTTGTCAGGTTTTTGATGCTACAAACACAACCAGAGAGAGAAGGAGCCTCATCCTGAGTTTTGTGAAGGAAAGTGCATATAAGGTCAGAGGATGTGTGAATATCATTGTCTTACTGAAATATTAGCACTTCTTCATGTTCAGAGCATCCAGAGATCAATAAAGCTCCGCAGCAGCCTGCTTTGCCCTTCATAAACCTGAATAGAAACGGTCTTGCAGTCTTTGATGGGATTATTTTTGCTTTTGTTTCCAGGTGTTTTTTGTCGAGTCGCTGTGTGACGACCCAGAAGTCATTGCTGCCAGCATACTGGTGAGTGTCACCGTTAATATTTATCACTGCTGTCATATCAGAAAAAGTTTTAGAGGTTATATAACATAAAATGTTTCTGTTAAAAGTTGAGTTGTTGTCCTCATTTGTAAATCGCTTTTGATAAAGTGTCTCCTAAATGACTAAATATAAATGTTCTTTTTTTTTTTTTTTCATTTTATTGTAATTATGCAGCTTTTAGGAGCTCACATTAATTGAGAGACTGCAGGAAATATTTGAGCTTTAAACATTTTTTTAAATGATTAAATTCTAAAAAAAAAAAATATATATATATATATATATATATATATATGTCAAAATGTACATTTTCTTTGGTCAAAAATAACTGTAGAGCACCAGAATTTACAAATATATTTGCTAAAACTTTTCAACCAATATATTTTTGGCCATTAGTGTTCTTCACACTAAGAAAAAATGGTTCTTTTAAGAACTGTTCACTGAAAGGTTCTTGGGGGAACCAAAACTGGTTCTTCTATGGCATCGCTGTGAAAACACTCTTTTAGAACCTTTATTTTTAAGAGTGCAATGCTTTTTTCACTCATAAACTGAGGAGCATGAGCTCAGATCAATGAGACCTACGATCAATCAGAAAGAAAAAAATGTAAAAGAAAACACAAGAACTGTGCTAACTGAAAGAAAACAAGTTGTTTAAAAGATCAAATCCAATATTTGTTGATCATATAGCATAATGAGAGATTTACAAGCTATTCTTGACCAGAAACACCAAATTAGCTAAAGGATGGAACACTATAATATTTAACAAATGAATACTTAAAGGGGTCATAGGATGCTACATGTACTTTTACAAGTTGTTTGTACACAACCACCCTATAATGATAAAAATCCACCCAATGTTTTTTCTTAATCTGCTCAAATCTTTACCCCTTTCTCAAATCAAGCTGATCTCAGATGCCTGTCTGTGTGACATCACAAAAACAGGCCCCTCCCACGATAGTTTGATTGACAGTAGAGTTTTACCTTAGCTCCGCCCTGAGTGACTGTCATCAGTGCTTCATTGTTTCACCGCCGGAGCAGATGTAGACAAGAATGACTCCTGAGCGATTGAGGTGTTCCACATTGCGCACCTAAAGTCAACACATTTTGCCCTGATTATTTATAAAAGTAAAGTTCTAGGTAAACTTATATATCCTGATGATGAGCAAAATGAAGTTAATATCGTTGGACAGCAGTGAGCTCGTGTTCATTTCATAACACATCATTCATTTGATGGCAGGATGTGAAGGTTTCCAGCCCTGATTATCCTGAGAGAGACCGAGAGAGCGTGATGGAGGATTTCCTGAAGAGAATCGAGTGCTATAAAGTCACATATCAGCCGTTAGACCCGGACGACCATGACAAGTATGACTTTATTATATAGGCTATCTTTCCATTTATTATTTTTCCAACACATCCAGTAGCTGATTGATCTCTGAGGAGACATTTGGCAAGACTTGTCCTTTGGGCAAACATGTTTTTTTTTTATTTTTATATGTGATAATTTTTGGGAGGCTATATGATATTTAATTTCAGCTGTTGATACGTGTGACCTGAACACCAGTTTTTGCTTTTCTGTTGTCATGTCACTCAGTCTCCAGCAGAGAGCAGTACAGTACTGAATTAATTTTGTTAATATTCTGGCACGTTGGTTTTGTTTGGTGATGATAACTATATCATAAATGCCTCTAAATACTTTCTAATTGATTAAGTTTGTGTTCAAATAGTGTGGATATTCAAATATTAATCTAGAATCTCTGAAAAATCTCTACAGATGTTTTGGACAGTCCAAGGCATTCGTGAGATTCCTCAGGAGTAGCTTTTGGCTTTAATCGGAGAATAATCTGCCAATGCTTGGGAAATTCTCACCCATTGTAGTGGTTACAGACACAGTTGCCTTCAGACTTCTTCCACTAGCTTTATTCTCTGCTGTGAAACTGCTCATACAACATCCAGAAAACTGTTCATTTCAACTTGCAACCCACAGTATTCATTGTTTGTAGACATTATTATATGCTTCACTAATGTGAGGTCCAAAAAGGGAAACAAAATTATGGTACAGTATATTTAATTGTACAGAAATAAGTGGAAAACCCACATTCATGTGCCTGGAATTTATTTGTAGATTTAAAGGCACAATATGTAATTTTCGCTGTTAGATGGCGCGTATTCAAAATAAACAAAGAGACAAAGGCGTAGTTTGATGACGCTGTGACTGAGTGTGGAATCATGGGAGTTGTGGTCTTCATGTCCACAGCCGATGCAGTCAGATGGGACTCGGGTAGAAATCATGTTCATGGATGAGCTAATGATTTATTAACATAGTAGAATGAAGCAGGGTGAGGCTGAAAGCTGTTGAAGTGAAACAAGGCCGCTGAACGAGCGTGACACACGACTGGAAAGCAGCGGAGCTCTTATTATGCCACAGTCGAGCGCTTCCACTGCTTCCGGTCCTGCGTATGTGGGGTAAAGCAGCAGAGCTTTGATTATGCCACAGTCGAGCGCTTCCACTGCTTCCGGTCCTGCGTATGTGGGGTAAAGCAGCAGAGCTTTGATTATGCCACAGTCGAGCGCTTCCACTGCTTCCGGTCCTGCGTATGTGGGGTAAAGCAGCAGAGCTTTGATTATGCCACAGTCGAGCGCTTCCACTGCTTCCGGTCCTGCGTATGTGGGGTAAAGCAGCAGAGCTTTGATTATGCCACAGTCGAGCGCTTCCACTGCTTCCGGTCCTGCGTATGTGGGGTAAAGCAGCAGAGCTTTGATTATGCCACAGTCGAGCGCTTCCACTGCTTCCGGTCCTGCGTATGTGGGGTAAAGCAGCAGAGCTTTGATTATGCCACAGTCGAGCGCTTCCACTGCTTCCGGTCCTGCGTATGTGGGGTAAAGCAGCGCTGTTTTATCATACTAGATACATTTGAAAGTTCTGTTATAATGCTACTCTGTGCGGTCGTCACCGGTCTATTAAAACACACAACATATTAAAGTGTCTTTGGTGTTTCCATGTTTTCTACAAAACCGGAAATCGAGGGGTTATGACGTCATTGGCAGGCGACACAATGACACTATAGACACGCTCCGTGTCACTAGTTAAAATTGCGTATTTCTCTGGATTTAAACATTCTTCGAAACATTTGGGATAATGCAAGTACACAAGTCAGCAAAATATATAACACCGCTCTAGTGGTTTTTGGATATTTGAAGAAAAAAAAATATATCTTACATATTGTGCCTTTAACTCTTGTTTTAATCAACAGTGTTAGCTTATTTACTTCTGTATTATTCTAGTATTTATTAATATTTTGAAAAATGGAAATCTAAAATAATAAAAAAATCATTTTAAATTGACTTTTAGTAATTTTGTTCTGTTATAAATTTAGTTTTTAAATTTTATATTTTAGTTATAGTTTTCGTTTAATTCTGTTTTAGTACTTCAACGTATATATTTCAATTAGCTGCTAAAGCAGCACTTCTAAGTATTATTTAATGATTTTCTTTTTTTTACTATTTAGTTTTCGTTTATTTATTGTAGTATTTCAGCTTAAACTTATTTTATTTTAGTTGTATGCCAAAGCATAATTTCTGTTACTTTTTCCATCCAATATTTGTATTTTAGTTTAGTTTTAATTAACGACATTAATAGTTCTAGTTAATACCAACACTGTTAATCAAGATAATAATTTTGCCACCAAGTTTACAGATACGAATTCTAAAACATATACTGTAATCCTAGCATTATTCTACTTACTATAGCATATAAGATTTCATTTTAGCATTTTTACATCCAACCAGATAGCAATATCTTTTATCCCTGACAAATGAATAAATCTGTAGTATTACCTTCTGTAAAAGCACCTATTTTTACTCTGTTTTTAATTAACGACATTAATAGTTCTAGTTAATACCAACACTGTTAATCAAGATAATAATTTTGCCACCAAGTTTACAGATACGAATTCTAAAACATATACTGTAATCCTAGCATTATTCTACTTACTATAGCATATAAGATTTCATTTTAGCATTTTTACATCCAACCAGATAGCAATATCTTTTATCCTTGACAAATGAATAAATCTGTAGTATTACCTTCTGTAAAAGCACCTATTTTTACTCTTGTTGTGGAGAGTCATTTACTGAGTTTTGTGACTAAAATAGGAATACTCCACGTCTTAATTCGATTTCTGTTTACATGGTAGATTCTTAATCAGAGTATTGTCTTAATCGTATTAAAATCTGAGTATTGTTGTCCATGTAAACGTACTGACTGATATACTGGAACACTGCCCTGCATCATATTTGATGAATGAAATCCAGTGCATGTTTCTTACTCATTTTGAGGTGCTGATTCCAAAAATAATGGCTGTTTTGCTCAAGCACATCACACTAGCTTACAAAATGATGCTTATTGTAACATTTTTGCTTTCGACAACCATTTTTAAGGTGAAGTCGTCTTTTATTAAACTAATCAGCAGAAAAACTGCCACAAATACATGATTCCCATCTTCATCCGAGTCAAATTACAACTATTTGTTCTATTCAAAGCCCATTTTCACATGTATGAATTATTCTATTCATCATTAAAATAAAAGCTTTTAACATTTTTGTTATTTTGATAAGTGCAAAAAAAAAAATTATATATATATATATATATAACACACTTTACTGTGTACATATAATTTATATGAATATATGTAACTTGAAATAAATATATATAATTTTTTTAACAGAGTTATTGGTTATTTTTTAACTCCGTATCATTACATTTGGTAATATGGAGCATTTTTTGCAAATCAGAAGAATTTATTTTATATTGCAGGGCTGTGTTATAGTGTTTGTTAATATTTTGAATTAGGTTTTATTTTTGTGTTCACTTTAATTTTATTTGAATTTCTAGTAATTTTGTTGTGTGCTTTTGTCACTTTTACTAGTTTCCTTAAAGTATAACTATATAGTTTTTTTTGTTATTATAAAAAATTATATTCTTATTAATAGAATTTTTATAATGTTTTGTTTAAGTTAATTTCATTTTAGTACATCAAGTTAAACCAAAAGAAAACTAGAAATGTTGCCTTGGCAACATATGCATGTCTTTAATATTTTACTATAACATTTATATATAATTTTTTTTTACTTTTATTTATTTAATTAACTTATTTATCTATTCATTCTTTTTTTAATTAGAATTTTTTAGGTTTTAGTTAACTATAATAAAACTTTACTGTAGCACATGTAAAGCCCCTTTCATAGTCACCCTGTGTTGCTTCCCAGCATGCTCTGGGTCAGTCCTTTACCACAGGTGGGTGAGAAATGTTTGTGGGCTTTTTAACATCTTTCCCGCTCTGTGTTAGTTTTCTAAAGCCCTGCGTGGGTTCCTGGAAAACCAGAAGATTCCAGACCTGAAGGTGTGGACCAGTCAGCTCAGACGCACCATCCAGACGGCCGAGGAGCTGGGCGTCCCGTACGAGCAGTGGAAAATCCTCAACGAGATCGACGCCGTGAGTTTCCTGCCGCTGTTTTTATTACAGCAGCAGCCTCTGGTTTTCAAACGAACACTGGGCTGTTCTTCATTACTTACCGTGATAAAACAGGTGTTTTCTGTTAACAGGCAATTAGTCAATTTGAGTCAGATGTTTAATGGAGGTGTATCATATTTAACTCGTTTACCACACCAAAATGAATTCAGCTGTGTGTTTGTAAGAAACAAATCCATTATTAAGATGTTTTTAACTTCAAATCATCGCTTCCAGCTAAAATACGAGTCCATAATATTGTTTTCTCCAGTGAAAAAGTCATCTGGTCTGAATCAGGAGAGAAATCTGCACAGATCAAGCACCGTTCTAAACAAATAATATCAGTGGATTTTTATGTGGGAGGACAACAGGAGATGACTTTTTCACTGGAGGAAGCATTATTATGGACTCGTATTTTGGACAGAAGCGACGGTTTGAAGTGAAAACGTCTTTATGTATTTGTTTCTTACAAACATGCAGCTTTTGGCTTCTCAAGATGTTCACTGATGGACTGGAGTGCTGAGATCAAGCACCGTTCTAAACAAATAATATCAGTGGATTTTTATGTGGGAGGACAACAGGAGATGACTTTTTCACTGGAGGAAGCATTATTATGGACTCGTATTTTGGACAGAAGCGACGGTTTGAAGTAAAAACGTCTTTATGGATTTGTTTCTTACAAACACGCAGCTTTTGGCTTCTCAAGATGTTCACTGATGGACTGGAGTGCTGTGGATTACTTGTGGATTATTGTGATGTTTTTATCTGCTGTTTGGACTCTCATTCTGACGGCACCCATTCACTGCAGAGCATCCATTGCTGAGCAAATGATGGAATGCTACATTTCTCCAAATCTGTTCTGATGAAGAAACAAACTCATCCACTGTACGTTTTGGATGGCCCGCTGAGGATGACTAAATTGTCAGCAAATATTTATTTTTGGGTGAACTATTGCTTATATTGCAAAAAGAAAAAAACAATCACTTTATTGAAACATTTGTGCTGTTTGTGCATTATTATTTTTAATGTGTGTTTATGTTTTATATCAGGGCATCTGTGAGGAAATGACATATGAAAAGATAAAAGAAACATACCCAGATGAATATTCTCTCAGAGACCAGGACAAATACCACTACAGATACCCAGGAGGAGAGGTGTGTTCTGTACAGTTATAACACCTGATGTGCCATTTAGAGTTCCCACGTTTTAATAATAACTCTTCACGACTTTTTCATGACCTTTAATGATTCAGATTTAGACTGATTGACAAATGAACTATTCAGACTGATTCACTGAAAAGAATCAACTCAAAAGAATTCACTCCCACTTTTTGAACGCAGTCTCTTCTGCTCACCAAGGCTGCATTTATTTGATCATAAATACAATACAAACAGTAAAATTGTGAAGTATTACTATTTTTCTGTTTGATTATATTTTAAAATGTATTTTATTTCTGTGATCAAAGCTGAATTTTCAGCATCATTCCTCCAGTGTTCAGTGTCACATGATCTTCAGAAATCAGTATAATATGCTGATTTGCTGCTCAAGAAACATATCTGATTATTATCAATGTTGAAAACAGTTGTGCTGCTTTTGTGAAAACCATGATACATTTTATTTGCAGAACTCTTTGATGAATAGAAAGTTTAAAGAACAGCATTTATTTGAAATAGAAATCTTTTGTAACATAAAGGTCTTTAGTACTGTGACTCTTGATCATTTTAATGCATCCTGTCTGAATAAAACTATTAATTTCTTCAAACAAAGAGAAAATCATTCATATCTAGCAGTGAGTTTTGTTGCTCTTCTCTTGCTGTAGTCCTATCAGGATCTGGTGCAGCGGCTGGAGCCAGTAATCATGGAGCTGGAGAGACAAGGCAACGTGCTGGTCATCTGCCACCAGGCCGTCATGCGCTGCCTCCTCGCCTACTTCCTGGACAAGAGTGCTGGTATAACACACACACACACACACACACACTCTCTCTCTCTCTCACTCACACACACACACACACACACACACACACACACACTCAAATCATATCAGGGCTCTTGGGACTTACTGATGACTATAATGAGAGACACGAGTATGTAGGTTTCTGACGGCTGGTTTTCAGGTAATAAGTATCCTAAGAAGATCCTCTAACAAGCTCTATGAGATGAAGTTGTTGATATTCCTGAGCAAAACTCTTCAGTGCATGACCGCTTAGACTCAAATATGTGTTCATAATGTCAGCAGATCTTCTCATATTTGGGTGTGCTTGTATTGTACAGATGATTTGCCGTATCTGAAGTGTCCCCTTCATGTGGTCCTCAAACTCACCCCAGTGGCTTATGGTACGTGTTGTTTCATTCACTAAGGCCCATCTTATATGTGTGTGTGTGTGTGTGTGTGTTTATAAATTATAATTAATAATATAATAAAATAACTTAATGAAATGAATAAATACAATACATTTTCATGATGTTTTTTAAGAGATTTAGATACTCTAGTAACGTTCAGATTTTTTTCAATACTTCTTGTTTGTTTTCTGTTGCAGGCTGTAAAGTTGACATATTTGACCTGAAAGTAGAAGCTGTGAACACACACCGGGACAGACCACTCGTAAGGAGAAGCATAACCAGTACCAGACTAACCGTTTGTGTGGTGTTTGCTAAAACAGGCTTCACTGTTATTACTAGCAAGCCTTTAGTAGCATGCTATTTTCCTTCTTTAGGGAAATGTGTTTTTGTTTAAACAGAAAATAAGTTCTCAAACTTTATTTGTGCAGAACGATTCTAGATGTTAATTCTGTTATGATATTTTTGGAATCACATGTGTCCTGTGATCTCGCGGTCTGTCCAACACGAGCAGCTTGAGTAAATCAGCAGTAGAGGAGCCTCAAGGCAACAACAACCTCTTGAACTCTTTTAACAGAACGCTAAAGGCTGGCAGAGTGGTCTGTTTTTGCAGTGCAAGTCTGGAGGTGGGAGTTTGCCTGAAAAACACAAACCACAGGTCTGTGGTCAGAGCGATTGTCGTCCCGTCTTAGAATAGTTCTGGCTTATGGCTGGATATTGTTTTAGGATGAGATGGTCTGAGCATCTTCTGTTGGGCGGCAGTCGGGGGAGTTTCCCTCCAGCCTGAGCTTTAATTTAATGTGCAGCAACATGTTTAGTTTCCGCTCAGATTTTTAAAGAGCTTATATAACATGGAAAACAGATGGTTTTTGCACTTTAGAACAAAAAAAAGAAAAAGAGTTGTTGATGATGTAATAAGTTGACTTAACTCCAATCCACCCAAAAGATGTATAGGTGAATCTCATGAAGGAAATGTTGCTTTTTCTCCCTTCATTAAAATTTAGCATAATTACATTGTACAAATGTACTTAAATCTTATTTGTACTACAAATAAGCTGTTGGGCGGCAGTCGGGGGAGTTTCCCTCCAGCCTGAGCTTTAATTTAATGTGCAGCAACATGTTTAGTTTCCGCTCAGATTTTTAAAGAGCTTATATAACATGGAAAACAGATGGTTTTTGCACTTTAGAACAAAAAAAAGAAAAAGAGTTGTTGATGATGTAATAAGTTGACTTAACTCCAATCCACCCAAAAGATGTATAGGTGAATCTCATGAAGGAAATGTTGCTTTTTTTCTCCCTTCATTAAAATTTAGCATAATTACATTGTACAAATGTACTTAAATCTTATTTGTACTATAAATAATCTTTATTTTCTTCATGCAAAATGTAATTTGGTAACATTTTACTTAAGGCCTTTTTGTATAATGCATCATAAAAGTAGTTTTAATGCATTAATTATGCCTTGTAATGCACCTCATAATGCTTTGTATGATCTCATTAATAATTGTAACCACAGTTATAATAGATTATAATAATTATCTACTCATTTAGAAAGAATAATGCGTTAAAAACACACGTCAAACAAACCTTCAGATATTATAATGCATTTTAACTTTGGTTCAATTATTTCTGAAAAGATGAAATGCATTACCATGGACATTATGAATACCTTTATAATCCATTATACATACAGGCTTTAAGTAAAGTGTTAGCTATAATTTCTTATTCGCCTTTTAATTGTCAGGTGAAATGTGTAATACCTATGATGATAATCAATAGGATGCAGTACAGAAAAAAATATGAACATAAACTTAACATATTTACACATCAACACTTTAATTTCACATGCAAAGCCATTAGCCAATCACAACAGATGTCGTTTACATATAGAAGTCTAAGAGCTATACTAACGGCCTGTTTCATTGTGAGGCTCAGAGAGAGGGTGGAAATTGTCATGAAGAGCTACATTATGATGCAAGAAACCTTGAAATATGGCCCTTTATAAACATGGCTTTTGTCCGAGTCTTCAAACACATGCTGTACCTGATACTTGCGTTGTGTGTTATCAGGGAAGCTCCAGACAGGAAGTGCCGCCCACTCTGCTGAGGAGGAACAGCTTTACGCCACTGTCTAGTGAGGATCAAGTCAAGCGGCCCCGCCTCTTCAGCGTCGGCAACCCGCCCCGCTTAGCAAGCATTCCTGCCTCATCAACCTCGCGGTTCCCTGTGGCGCAGGAGAGCGAGGAGCTGAGCGAGAGCCCGGTTAGTTCTGTGTGTCTGAGCTCTTAATGTGATTTACAACACTGAGACCTAGATCCCAAACACACACCGACAATATAAAACAATTAAGCAGACCCATATGCTGATAGATATTTGATTTTATGTTTTAAAAAAGAAACATGTACACTACCAGTCAAACGTTTTTGAACAGTAAGATTTTTAATGCATTTATTTGATCCAAAATACAGTAAAAGCAGTAATATTGTGAAATATTTTTATTATTTAAAATAACTGCTTTCTATTTGAATATATTTTAAAATGTGATTTATTCCTGTGATCAAAGCTGAATTTTCAGCATCATTCCTCCAGTCTTCAGTGTCACATGATCTTCAGAAATCAGTATAATATACTGATTTGCTGCTCAAGAAAAAAAAAATTCTGGATTCTTTGATGAATAGAAAGATTCAAAGATCAGCATTTATCTAATATAAAAAAAGCTTTTGTAACATTATACACTATATCATTCAAAAGCTTGGAGTCAGTGTATATATATATATATATATATATATATATATATAATAGTTTCATTTATTTTTTTAAAGAAATTATTAGGAATTATACTTCTATTCTGCAAGGATGCATTAAATTGATCAAAAGTGATGATAAAGATATTCATAATGTTACAGAAGATTTCTATTTCAGATAAATGCTGTTTTTCTGAACTTTCCATTCATCAAAAAAACCTGAAAAAAATCTATAGCTGTTTTGTTTTTAACATAGTAATAATAATAATAATAAATGCTTATTGAGCAGTAAATCAACATATTAGAATGATTTCTGAAGGATCATGTGAC